GCTGTGACTGGTGGTTACTATCACTGGGCTGTGACTGGTGGTTACTAGATGGTAACACAAAATTGTAAGAACATATTTACCTGGAGCCACACAGAGTTGACAAATTAGCAAATGTAAGTACATGCAAATAAATTGCAACATTGTTTTTTATTTGCAAAATTTAGTTACATGTCTTAAATATTTCGTACTTTCATTACAATTAATTATTTTTTTATTTTGATACATCATAAATTAGTTTCAAAGGTTGCCAATCCATCCCAAAGTTTTCTCACATTTCTCTCTCTTTCAGATTAAATTTATATATAAATTACGGACTACTGGACACCAGCAGCTCCCATGACCCAGAAAGGAATAAGCAGATAAAGATGATGGATGGACTTGAAGTTCAGAAATGAGCTCCACAAACCAAGAGTTTTGTTCAGGTGGTAACCTTTCTTATAACTTTGACCAATGTAACATGATAAACATCTGGCCAGTAGCTTGACTTGAGGGACCTATAACTTACTCTGACTGCTTCATAAACAAAACTATGGTTTCTGTCCTATTTAATCTTTTACTTTAACAAGTAATTGAAAAAAAAAATCAAATAATTCTTTCACGTTCTTTTAAAACTTCAAATTTAGCTCAGATAAGTTGGAAATATTTGGATCATGTGTAAGTGTTTAACACAGAATGCATGCTTTAACCAAGACAAAGACATGCTTGAGGAGAAAGATAACGTTGAACTCTTCTGTGTGTAGAGCCTTTTTATCCTGTGCTGGGACACAGAGAAGGCACGGTGCCATCAGTTATCATTCGGAGTCACACCTCAAAGCTGATTTCTCTGGACTGTCCAAACAGAGGCTCTGTTGCCAGGTGGGTGTCTGAATATGCACGCCGCAGGTGCGTAGAGCTGCACGTGGTCTTGATAGCAACTTCATAGGGAGGCGGAGGTCCCAGCCATGGAGGAGGGTGAGGTGTTGGGCTAAATCCACCAGAGTCCATGGGTGGATAGTCAAAATCCTCCACACGTCCAGCGTCCCTCTGGTGCTCCATTGTCCTACACCCACAAAAATGAGATGTGGTGGGAGTATAATTATGTGACAACACAAAGAGATATTCAGTTCTGCAAAAAGAAATGGTTGGATTGTAAACAGCAAATTGAGGCACACTGTCACTTGTTATGCTTTAAAGTTATAAAACATTGTTAGGGAAATCTGAAGTGGGTTTCTGTTTGAAGATTATGAATATTCAATTCAATTCAGTTCATTTGTATAGTTGCCAAGTCACAACCGAAGTCATCCCAGAGCACTGAACAGAAATGCAAGCAAACAAATAAACGTTTTTAGGTGATTATCTTGTTAAATTTCGAAGTCATGCACAACGAGCATGTGCTCTGTAGCTGCAAATCGATTTTTGAAATGAAGCTGTTTTTAAAGATTAAAGTGCATTTATTAAGGAAAGGTTCAACTGAGACACATATGGAAGAATTATCCTGCCGTTAGCGGAGAGCGCACATTTTGTGTTTGAAAGCAGGAATTCATTTCTTCTTGCATAGACACACTTTGCTATAATGCTGAGCAAGCAAATAATTGTTTTTAAGTGTTAATCTTGTTAAATTTTTGTTAAAGTCCTCCCGTGCACGATCCCGCGGCCGCCATTTGGCAGCCAATCGATTTTTGACACAACACCAATATGAAATAACTTGCCTGTTGTAGATGGTTTATTGAACAAGCTCAATGCAGAGAAACTGACTTTGATTCTGACCAGTTTAGTCCAAGAGAGGTCAAGAAGACCAACATGTATTTCTGCTGTTTCAAAGCAACTCCCATCCATCCATCCATCCATCCATCCATCCATCCATCCATCCATCCATCCATCCATCCATCCATTATCTTTACTTCTTTCTTTTTGGGTCACGGGGGTCACTGGTGCCCATATCCAGCTATCACTTTATAAGAGAGGACACCCTGGACATGTCTCGAGTCCATCTCATGGCCACATCTCTCATTCACATGTAGAGATAATTCAGAGTCACCAATCAGTCTAACATGCATGTTTTTGGTCTGTGGGAGGAAACTGGGGTACCTGGAGAAAACCCACACATGCACGGAGAGAACATGCAAACTCCACCCAGAAAGACCCCCGGACCGGGATTTGATCTGATGACCTTCTTACTGAGAGGCAACAGCTCTACCAAGTGCCCCTGTGATATGCATATCCAACAAATGTATTTATTTATTTTAATTTATTCTTTATTAAACCAGGAAAGTCCCACTGAGATTAAAACTTATCTTTCAAGGGTAATCTGGACAAGGTAGGCAGAAGCAAATACAAAACATGGTTACCACATCACAGTTAAGACAACAAAGTTAAAACATTAAACTGAGAAATATATAAAAAAGACAAATAATTAAAACTAATTACGAACAACAGGTACAAGTTATGGGCGGGTGGCTCAGTTGGTAGAGATGCTGCCTCTCAGCAACAGCAAGATGTTCGCCAGATCAAATCTCGGCGGAGACCTTCCTGGGTGGAGTTTGCATCCTCTCTCTGTGCATACATAGGTTTCCTCCCACAGACCAAAAACATGCATGTTAGACTGATTGGTAACTAACTAAGTTGTGCCTAGATGTGAGTGAGAGAGTGAATGGTTGTTGTTCTCGTATATGTGGCCCTGTGATGGACTGGAGACCTCTCCAGGACTCCAGGGTACTCCTGTTTTATTTATTTTATTTATTAACCTTTATTTAACCAGGCAAATCCCATTGAGATCACAGATCTCTCCTGCAAGGGAGACCTGGGCCTGAAGGCAGCCTAACACATCCTCTTGCACATTGACAGCTGGATATGGTCCCAGTGACCCCTGTGACCTGAAAAGGAAGAAGTACGTAAAGGATGGATGCATGGATGGATGGATGGATGGATGAATGGATGCATGGATGGATGGATGGATGGATGAATGGATGGATGGATGATGGAAGGATGGAAGGTACAAGTTACAAAGTTACTGCTCAATGAAATAACCTTTGATGGTGTCTAGTCTTTCTACAGTGTATTCCTTGTAGAAGGTGCAGAATAGACCAAAACCTTTTAACCCTATTCATCTCAGGCAAACAGAAAATAAAGCATCAAATAATTTTGCAGGCAGATGGGGTAAGAACTATCACCTCTTTGTAGAGAGTACAACTATAAGGAGAAGAAGTCCACATACAGTCTTGTATATGAATGTATACCAATAGCCAAGCCCTCAACTAGCCTACAAATACAAAAAGTCCAAGAAAACATATTAACGTATGTGAAATTTGGCTAAATATGCAACAATTTACCCATTTTGTCACATAATTGGCATATTTTGCTTTAAACTTGGCACAGCCAAAGTGAAACAGGAAGTGACATCAAAGGGGAGCTCTATAAAACGGGTAACCCCCCGGTCTTTGTTTATTGGAACAATATTACTTGGACTCTTTTTCGTCTCTTTCTGAGAGAGACTCAAAATAATCTAAAGAAAAATCAAGTCCTTTGCTACTGTTTGTGTAGTCAGCCATTGTAGTGATATTCTGTTCACAGGCAGGCGTTCCTCTTTGTCGTCACTTCCTGTTAATGCACGTGCCAATATCTCAACAAATGTTCATCTTTATGGCATTATTTTTTGCAATACTTTATTAATGTTATCTTTCCAAAAATGCATTTATTATTATTACAAAAAATTGATGTCACAGGCACTTAAGGTATCCTAAGTTAAAAGTTATAGAATTATTTGTCTTAATAGGAAAGATACAAATATATATTTTTTAATTTTATGTATGATTTTAACCATTCTAAGGGAAACCTGCAAAACATCTAGAGTTTTTGTGTAGCAAATTTCCTCATGCATAACTTCCAAAGTAACTATTTCACCATCAGTTCTTTTTCCAGAGATCCAGAATGGCTAAAGGCAATTAAAAATCTCAAAACTTGAAAACAATAAACCAGAAAACATAGCAGTACATTTTTTATAAGTAGTCTGTGTATACACTTTCTCCTGATTAGTGACCGTGCAAATATGATGCACAGCTAGGTCCATCATTGGTTTGGGAACTGCTATACATGTACGTCGCTAGATATATGTGGTTTGAAAGTGGTATTAATGAGCTGCAGAACAGCCAGAAGGCAAATTTTATGATATTTGGAAACAGAAATTGAAACTTCTATCTAAAGTTCATGACTTGGAAGAATACACTGGCCAACATGGAAATGCAATAATAACGTCTACAAATGTGCCCATTTTTTAAACATAGATCATTAAGAATTAGTTCAGACAAACCCATAATTAGGATATCTGGTTTCTGCGTTCTGTCAATAGAATTAAATCATCAGGAGTTATACTCAGGCGAACTATACTGAAGACATCTAACAAGGTTGAGTCAGGTCCTCTGGACGGGTTCTTCTTTGTTGAAACATTTCGTCTTTAATCCAAAGGACTTCTTCAGCCTGAGGAACTGCAACAAACTCAGTCTTATAAATAACACCTTTTCATAGTGGATCAGCCAGTTTGCTGCTGACAGTCAGAACTAGATGTTCACGTGCAAAAGGAGGACCATCAGCCTAACAATCGACCCCCCCCCCCCCCAAAACAACAACAAAAAATCATACATTACGGCAAAGACTGGTTCATCCCAAAGATCCATTCACCTGGAACAAACAGAGTAATGTTGTGTATGCTGTTCAGTGTCAGGAGGGCTGTGATCAGTCATACATCGGGGAAACTAAACAGCCACTGGCCAAAAGGATGGACCAGTACAGAAGATCAACATCATCAGGCCAGGACTCTGCGGTCTACACTCATCTCCAGGCCAGCGGTCACGCTTCAGGGATAAAGATGTGCACATCCTTGATAGAGAGGAACACTGGTTTGAGAGAGGAGTGAAGGAGGCCATCTTTGTGAAAAGAAACCATCCATCATTAAACAGGGGCTGGGGTCTCCATGTTCAACTGTCCCCCGTCTTACAATGCTGTTATTGCTAGCATCACTCAGCCCTCTGTGAATAGCAAGTGGCCATCAGGGCACCAACGATCACTTGTTAGGCTGATGGTCCACTTTTTACATGTGAACAACTAGTTCTGGCTGTCATCAGCAAACTGATTGATCCACTATAAGGTGCTGTTTATAAGACTGAGCTTGTTGCAGCTCCTCAGACTGAAGAAGTCTGCTGGATAAAAGATGAAACAGTCCAACAAAAAGAATCTGTCCAAAGGACCCGACTCAATCTAGTTAGATTTTTCTACGTAGATTATTGAGCATGCATCAGGATAAACTGAAGACAAACTGATACAGTGTGTACATGTTTCCATCACTCACCTGGGAAGAAACACTGATTGGGACTCTGGGAAGCGTGTCAGTGGAGGAGAGAAGAGAGCCTGGCTTGGGTAGTTTGTGTATTCATTGTATGGGTAATGGGGACAATCTGGGTCAACCTCCCGGCGATTGTAGTTTGCAACAGTTTTGCTATTCATTGCCCAAAATAGTCCAAGGACAAGCATGACCACCCCCAGCACCACACTGCAGAGAGAGAAAGCCTGCAGGCGGCTTTGGGATGAGCCCAGGAAGGCTGTGGCACTCCCAGTCACAATGAGTAAGGCTCCGAGAAAGATTGCTCCATGGTGCAAGGAAGGCATCCTCCTCCAGGACTGCCAACTGTCTCCGATGTTACTGGTTGGCTGTGACTGGCTTGGTTGTGTCATTCACACATAAACAGTACCCCGGAGAGCGGGCCCCATGCACTCTGACAAAAACCAGATATCCAAATAATTTACGCCACAGTCTCTGTAATCCTCTGACACAAAAGTCTTCTTAAATCTTACTGTGTGGTTCCCATCATTTTCCTCTCCATTACCGTTAAAATACTCCAGATTATCTAGTCCACGTGATAATTCTCTCTCTTTCAAGTTCCACTTCTGGTGTAAAAGTGTTCAAATTGATGGTTTCTGGGGGGAAAAAGAAGCAAAGAAATAAATCTGTGAAGGCTTTGGTGCGCATCAGGCTAACGTTCAGCAGCCGTTTGTTTATCATCAGGGCAGATGGACGAGAGGACAGCAGAGCCCATTAAGAAATCTTTACTGGCGCCCCACCCTCCCTCTGTCTAATGTGTCCAAAGGGTACCACTTTAGTCTGTGTGTGTGTGTGTGTGTGTGTGTGTGTGTGTGTGCGTGTGTGTGTGTGTGTGTGTGAGAAGGAATGAAAGCGGAAGATGAACCGAGACAAAAAGTGCATGTCACAGCCATTTCTGTGAACAGAAATCAGAAATGGACATAAAAGAGACGACAATTTGTAACTGCATCTATAAGCATTATCCTGTAAACCACAGCATGACATAATCCCCATTACCACCTCAGCCCCTGTGTGGTTTAAAGCTATTTATGACGTGAATCCAGTCTTGAATAATACTTCAGGGTAGAATTCTCACAACTTAACATGAATGGTTTATTTTAATTGGCTAGAAAAACTAGTGGTTGAATTCTTCTTAATTGTGCTCATATTTAACAAAGACTTAAAGTGTGACATGCCTTTTCCTACAAATACAAAAATCAGAAGAAAACAACTTAACATTGAAGAAACTTGGCACAATGCATATGACTTTAAGATTAAAAATGTAATAGAAACCCATTTAAATTTGTTTTGTTTTTAGTATTCTACACCACTTTACAACCTAGCAGGTTTTTTTTAACTACTTTTCTTTTTAATAACCCATTTTATTTTCACTTGTTTAAATAAATACATAAATAAATTTGTATGCATCCTTTATGATTGTCTATTGTTGTCCACTGTTGTCATCACTCTTTATTAAAATTCAGGTCTCTCTTGTAAATGAGTCCCCGAGGCTCAATGGGATTAACCTGTCTAAATAAAGGTTGAATGAATGAATTTAGTCACAGAACGGGCATATTTTTTATTTGAACTTGGCACGACCAAGTGACAAAAACAACATCATGTTGAGCTGTCGACTGTGCCAGGGGCTCAAACATATACCGTAGGAAGTGGCACCCAAAACTAGTGCTCTGCCATCTGATTATAGCTTCATCTGATAGAGACTCAATGGACTTCGCTGCTGTCTGTGTTGACGTGTATCAATGCGCAGCTTACATCCAGGTGTTCCTCTTTGTCGTCACTTCTGGTTATGTTGTGGGTTTTTATTATCATTAGGTCAAAAATAGATGATGCTGAAACTATCTGACATCAAATATGGGGTTTTATTAGAGTATAACAACAGTGATCAGCCAAACAGCATCAAAATAAAATAAAAAACTCAACCTGTACAGATTTACACAGACACTTTATACATCCCACTTTATGCATGCACTTTTTACAGATGTTGGATGCTGTCTATCACGGTGCGCTAAGATTCATAACTGGCTGTGATTATAGTAGCCACCACTGCACCCTGTATTCACTGGTTAACTGGACATCATTAACTTCACACAGACTCTCACTGGTACATTTTCATCTTTAAATCACTTCTTGGTCTGCTGCCTTCATACATCTCCTCCTACTTGTCTCTGCATGAGTGCAGCTACAGCGTGCGCTCTCAGGACATTATTACCTGCAGTGTCCCTTCAGTCAGTGGCGGCTCCAGATATATTTTTCTGCAGGTGCTTTTTTATGCCTTAAGTCTTTAAGCCTTTTTATGAGGGTGCTATGAAGGATAATTTGTTCTTTCAGTTCTCAAGGTCAAGGTCAGTGTGTCTTTACTGTCATTCACATCACATGTGATACATGAGGTGGAACGAAACTATGTACACAGGGTCCCAGTTACATCCAACAAAAATACAAATTGTAAAGAAAAACAGTAATAAGATCCGAGTCATGAACTAAGAATACACTAAGCAATATTAGTACGAAACAATGTGCCAAACAACAGCAGCACGAACATGAGTCTGTGTGAGCAGATGAGGACGAATGAACACAGCAACATGAAATAAATCAGCAGCATGAGATCAGCAGCATGGATAGTCAGCAGCACATATCAACAACCAAGTGGCATTACAATGATTTTTTTTTCCACAGTAATTTTCACAGGGATAGTCCTGACTAGGGATTCATGAGTCTAAGATCCTCAGGGTAGAAGCTTGTAGCAATAACAAAGGATGAGATGGAGGAAGAAGGATGACACCTTTTCCATCTCAACTCCACTACATTTGTTTTATTTATTTTTCATTCATTAAAGTGGGGCACCAGCCGGTCAGTTTACTGACCAACAACAACTTAATTAATATATTCACCCTTTAACAATCAGAATCAGTCACTGAAGTAGAATCTGTTCATTACAGGGAGTTTTATACAATAACAAACGAATATTCATCTGAATGAAGAGACCAAAGTTGTCTTTGAAGTTTTAGTACAAAAATAATCAAACTAAAAATCAACAACAATAATAAATAAACAATAATAAAGAATCAATCAAGGCTTAATTCTCCTATCTAAGACAAAACTCACTCTTTGAGCAGGAATTATTTCAATTTTATGCACTCATAAATTTAGACAAAGTTTAACTATTTTAGTAAATAGTTTACTTTGGATTTTGGTTAAAAGAAGTTATTTAATGTGATCAGATAAGTCATTTATTATCGCCGCAAGCCAGGAAATGATTCACTAAGTTGCATCAGCTAAGAATCATAACCAGACCATCATATCACCAGGTTCTGCTCCTTACTGGGTCAGTGCTGAGGGCACCAGGTCACTCGTCTTTCTGGGGTTCTCTGGTGAATCAGACCAGGATACACCATGAAGAGGACTCGCCGGGAACTGCCCAAAGGTAGATGACCGTGCAGGCTCCAGGTGAAATCTGTTTCCTCCTTTTAGAAAATGCCAACAAGCAAAACAAAACACGGCATCTCTACCACGCTGTATTCCAACCACAAATACTGATCGAGCCAGCCTTTGTTAAAACTTCTCTGTTGCACTCCAAATAGACGTGACGGGTATTTTTGAAGAAGAGGTCATCTTGGTTCATTTTGAGGACTTCTGCTTAGATCCTCCAGCTGTGCAGCACTAGAAGTGTTAGCAGCATTCTCCATAGATGTGGAAGGATGGCAGTACTCTTGATCCCCTTCTTCCAAATTATTGTTTATTTGTTGGTTGCAGTCTGCTTCCAAAAAAATCCCCCTTCTCTGATTCCATTCTAGGCAATTTGGGTAACAGAAAATGGTCCATTTTTGCATTTCGTGCACCTTTCATATGTTTACTGAATTTTCATTAATTTGAATTTTCACTTCCGGCTCGGAGGTTCATTTCCTGTTGCGAAATGGGAATTTTTTTAACTCAGTATATTCATTGAATTTTTATTTTATTTTAAATTAGTTGTGTTTTGAGAGGAAAATATCACAGTAACCACATATTAAAGAATATTAACTTAGATGAAAACGAATATAATCTGATATTTTCTTGGGGGTGCTACAACTTTTCCACGGGGAGCTATAGTGCCCCCTAGCACCCCTCTGGTGCCGCCACTGCCCTCAGTGAGGACTGAACTTGGCAAAAGGGCCTTTTTCTACTCCACTCCTGTTTCCTGGAATATCTTACAAAAAGATCTGACGCTCTCAACCTTGACCTCTCTAAGTGGCTTTAAGAATCTGTTACATTCCTGGCAAAAACCAAGGCAGACATGTTCCTGTTTTTAGTTTTCTACACCACCTTATAATCTAGTTGTTTTTTATGCTACTTTTTCCTTTTGACTGTTTTTTGGTTGCCATTTTATTTTAATATGTTTAAAAAAAACAACTTGTATGCCTCTTTTATGACTGTCTATTTGTTGTTATCCAGTGTTGTCATCACTCTTTGTTAAAGAAATCAGGTCTCTCTTGGAAATGAGTCCCCGAGGCTCACTGGGATTAATCTGTATAAATAAAGGTTGAATGAATGAAAAATCTCTTGTGCGTCACTAGTGATAGTTTATCTCTCACTTGTTCACTTGCCACTCATCAGGGAGAAAGCTCTGGGTCAGCCTAACCAAAACCCAAGGCCCCAGCTCAGACTTCATGGAGTGTGTAATTCCTGTCTATGTAGTCTCACAGATAGCACGTCTTATTTAAACTTCCCTTTCACATTTGGTGGTGATAAGAGCTTCCATGCATACCATATCCTTTGTTATTACTGATGATATAACAAGAACACATTCTACCTTGGCACAAAAAGGTTACTTAAAATGTACCTGAAACATCAAAACAGTCCATGCTCAATAATCCAGGTATACAATCCAACAATTTTCGGTCAGGTCATCTGGACAGTTTCTTTATTTTTGCTGAAACGTTTCACCTTCCATCCAGAAGGCTTCATCAGTCAAGAAAACACACAACACAAAACTGATTCTTCCCCAAACAGCTTACTCCAAAGTGGAACAAACCAGTTATGTTGGTGCTAAGATGGTGTCTAATGGCTAAGAGGGACAGCTGCAGTGGAGGGGGTGTGCCAAAGACACCATCTTAGTGCCAACATAACTGGTTTGTTCCACTTTGGAGTAAGCTGTTGGGGGGAAGAATCAGTTTTGTGTTGTGTGTTTCTTTGACTGATGAAGACTTCTGGATGGAAGGTGAAACGTTTCAGCAAAAAAAATAAACTGTCCAGATGACCTGACTGAAAATTGTTGTACTTGAAACACGTTTGAAGTGACTATTCGTCCATGAAAACCAAAAACAAACAAACAAAAAAGTTCTAACTTAAGGTGAATGTAACTCAAATAATCACTTGATGCTCCGTGGGTTTGTAGTTTACGCAGAACAAAGAAAAGGTCCAAGAAATTCAGTTCTGTGGTAGGTTTATTCCAAGTCAGCAAGCAAACAGTTTGATAGCATCCCTTGCTGACACACCTGCTCTAGATCCTGCATGACTGTTCAGGTTGTTGCTCCACCTCCGACTGGTAAAAAACCCATATGACCACCCACGTGCCTCTAAACCTCCCTAAAGCCAACGTATTTATACCTCGAATATACCCACATCCCAATTAAAAATAAATATATAAACTAAACAAACTACTAACCAACAAATTTATTCTAAACAATTATAATTAAACAAAAACACTAATTTAAAAATCAAACCTAAAAATAAGCTAATTCATACACCAATAAACTAAGTTCAAAGACTTAACAAAAAACAGACAAATAGCTTCCACAACGTTGGATCTGAGTCCAGTAGCTTCCATGCTGGGGAGGAGAGACCTGTGTCAGAAGACTTCATTAGACATAATTAGGTTTAATTGCACATGATTAGATTGAATTTAGTGAAACGGAAACAAAGCAGGGACTGAAGTGTGTTGAACTCTGAGCTTACTACATTGTGCATACGCCTTTTCACTGACATTTGTGATCATATATCTCAGAAACTGTTCAACTCGGGGCCATGAATTTTTTTTTTTTTTGCAAGTTATTTTACATTAATGCATTATACTGTATTTATCACAACAATTTGATGGCACAGGCACTTGAAGTGGTATGACCACGTTTCAGTCAAATGAACAAATGCAAAATGGGAAACATCTGAATTAGGGGCGCGCCGATTTACGATTTATCGGCCCCGATTTCCTTAATTATGGGAGATCGGCTGATACCTGCATGAGAAACCGATTTTACAGATTTTTTTAGTTTTAACAACAATTGTCTGAACTTCATTTATATTTGAGAGCACTACCTCATGGTCATTTAAAACAAGTTTGGATTGTTTCTAGGATATTGTTCAAGGGTATGTTTTTCAGTAAAATAATTTTAGAAAAGTGAAGGTGCATTGAGACATTATAACACCTGACCGTGTCACTTATAAAACAATATTGGTATCAGTCAAAATCGGAATCGGCAGGTCAGACTTTTTAGAAATCGGTGATCAGTGATCGGCCAGAAAACTGCAATCGGTGCACCCCTAAATCTGAATTTGAGGCTTTAGAAAAATATTTCACAAATGGACTTTAGATGTTCATTTCCTCAAACCTTCAGGCCAGAGTTCATGAAATGAGTCAACAGAAACAACTCACTTCATGTAAAATAATCAAGACGTGCAAAACTCATGAGTCATGTAAATGACTGCTATAATTAAAAGTTCCACTTGAAAGAAGTTTAAATTTCAGACACACAGGTGTTTTTAGCTAAGTGCTAACATTTGGTTGCTAAAGTGCTTAAGAAGTTTATCACTTTAGCTGAAATGTCTTATCACTTTAGCTGAAATGTCTTA